TATGTATATCTGTCAAAAAATAAATGTAAAAAGAAATTTAAGAGTAGGCAATTCTAGTGATTTGTAGTTAGATTTTTGTCTGTTTCTTGGTTAAAGTAGAAATGCTTGTTTAATATCTTTAAATTAACTTGCTACAGGAGATTATTGTGTGAAACCAGTATCGGCTGAAATTGTGGCAAAGATTGTAGCTTCCACAAAAGAACGACTTAACAATGCTTTTTCCAATTCTTCAAGTCCGAATAGTGGGCCAATTACTGTAGAAGTGTCTTCCAAAATGGCTGCAGATAATATTAAAAATGGAAAAGAGGTGTCCATGAAAGGAAAAAATCAAAGAAAAGTGCCTGGTGGTGTAATTTTCAACGAACTAATACGCTATCCTTCAGAAACTATCAAAACAATTTTTGAAAAAAAGTCTGGACTCTTCAATTCCAGTTCCTCTTCTGTTGGAGAAAATCCCTCTTCATCTTCTCTTTCAAGTACCCCAAAGAAAAACCTTACCAAGGGTGATAACACATCATTTTCAAGAAGCAGAAATAACAGCCAGAGCAGTATTGGGAGTATTGATTCTCGTATAATTGAAATGGCTGGCACACATATAGGAAAGAAACATGTATCTGAAGAAGTGTTTGATAAGCTTGAAAAAGAAAGAATGGATTCTTCTGAATCTACAGTCTTCTTTGTAGAGCAGCCTTGTACAGAAACTGACAGAAAGAAGTTAGATTCTGTTATATCTGACAAAGTAGACATAGATTATTTATATGCAGAATCAGTTGAAACAGAATCCAATTTGTCAGGTATCACAGGGATCGAAGATGAGATGTTTTGTATTAAAAAACTACTGATAGATGTTCCCTCCTCCCACTCAAGATTCCCTGTAGGACCTTACAGCACGGAGTCTTCGTTTCCCATCAGAAAAATTCCAATAGAGCAACAGACAGTTGCAGTTGAAACACAACCTCCTGAATTACAGGATCAAGCAACTGAAACAGACAGCTTAGAGTATTTTGGAATTTTATGTGAAAATGCTACTCTCCAAGGCCAAGTAGATACTTTAAGAAATGAAATAGACTGTGTCATGAAAGAAAAAGTGCAGCTTCAAGGATTGATTGCCTCTCTAGAAAGCAGGATAAAATTAGAACTTGAAGACAAAAAAGTTGGAAACAAAGAAAAGCAAGAAATATTGACAGAATTTGAAAAAATAAGCAGGGAACATAGAGGTTGGAGTAATGTTATAGCAGAGTATCAAAGCGTTATTGATTCTAAGGTAGCTGAAATAAAGGGCTTGAAAGAAGATCTTTCAGAGTCTGAACTGGAAAGAACAAAAGTGAAAGTTAACTTGGAGGAGACTAAGGTTGACTTGGAATCAAAAGATGGTGCTATTGATGGTCTGAAAAAGAAAATAGCTGAATTACACGTTGAAGTGTTGACTTTGCTGCAGGGTAAGGTTCAACTTGAAAATGAAGTGAAAGGGGTAAAAGGTGAAATGGAAACCTTGAGAAAGTCAAAGGAATGGTACCAACAACAATTAAACTCAGTGCAAGAAAACAGAAATACTACTCACCAAGAGCTTATTAAAGTCCAAGCTGAGGTGGTTTCTTCCAACAACTTACTGGAACACAAAAAGGTAGAAAACAGACATTTGAAGCAGCAGCTAATAGAGACACAGCAGAAAGCTGTGCGGGAAAAAGAAATCTTGATGAAGCACCTTGAGAACATTGAAATGGATATGGTGGAAAGAGAATCGCTCTTTCAAGAGATACAGAAGGACAGGGGAGCAGCTGAAGAAAGCCTGACAGAAAGAATGAAAAAACTAGAAGAGGAGCAGTCTAATATGAACAACCTTAATTTTACTGTTAATGAATTGGAGCATCAGCTTGCCGTAGCTAAGCATAATTTGTCCTCTAAAGATGAAATCATTCATAAGTTTGAGAAAGATCAAGCAGAACTAGTACAACAAGTGGTATTTTACCAAAAGACCATAAGTGAGAAAGACCTTTCTTACCAGTGGCTGGAACAGCAGCTAAGAGATTCAAAACAGAAACTGACACACACAGAACTGGAGTTGTCTACACGGGAAGAACAGATTATGATGCTAAAAGAAGAGAAAACAGCAATTGAAATAGCTCTGGCAGCTGCTAATGAGGAAAAAAGGACAGTTAATGAGACACTTTTGGGATTGAAAGAAAACTTGAATCGTGTGGAAGGGACTTTTAGACAAATGAGAACAGAATTTGTGGCCAAGTCTGCTCTTGTTGAACAGTTGCAAAAAGAAAAAAATCATGCGGAAGATGTCCTTCAGAAGACCGAAGAAAAATATCTTCAACAAAAGCAAGAGTTTGAATTGAAGTTTACATCTGAAGCTCAGAATGTAGCTGTCATTTTGCAAGATGTGCAGAGCCAAAAAAATGAACTAGAAACTGTTCTGGAAGCTACTAAGAAAGAATTGCTTATGGACCAGAAATATTATTCTGTTCTGATACAAGAGAAAGATGAGTTTCAAAGACAGTTGGAAGAAATGACCAAGTCATTACGTTCCAGTGAAGAAAAAGTTAAATCCCTCTCAGAACAGAATTCTCAACTGACTGTATTGTTAACAGACCTACGAGAAAAACAGGGTGAATTAAATAATCTTTCACAGGCTGCCGAAGAAAAATATCAGATGACTGGTACAACTACAGATGATGTTTCAGGTAGGCTTGAAGAAACATACAAGTTGAAGTTGCATCAGCTAGAAGAAACTCTTGAAACAAGAGAGGATGAGTTTAGAAAGAAACAGAAAATGTACGAGTCTAACATAAAGGTATTGACGAGAAAGTTAAAAGAATCGATGAAAGCCAAGAAGAAAGCTGAACAAGATCTTCAAAAAGCCAGACTAGATGAAGAGAAAGATGTTTCTCAGATTCATACTATTGATGCTGGACAACAAACACATGAGGATGGCGTTAACAAACGACAAGAAATTACTGAACATGTTGTGCATGAGCAGCTAATAGCTGAAAAAAATATCGATGATTACAGGAAAAAACAAGTTGATTTAGAAGAAGAACTAACAATTATAAAGAAAAAATCAGATGAGTGGAAACTTTGTGCCAATAAAAGACAGGAACTTATCCTGGAACTGGAAAAAGAAAAAGGACAGTTAAGAGGTACGTGGCATTTATAATCAGAAAAATAAAATATTGTATTACGTGGTTACGCAAACAAATAGGGTCTTTAAATTGTTGGGTAATATATACTAGTGACAGGATTCTAAAACAAATAGACACTTAGGGAAGTGTTCTTTAAGTCGTTCTGGCCCTTGTAACAGCATTTTGCTGTTTATGTATTTGTTCATAAAATTAATAACTCGTAAAGCTGAAGCATGATTATCATTGGATGTTTTAAATCCTAAATTGGATTTATTTGTTAAATTTACAATTTATAGAGGGAAAAAAAACTGTGACATAGCTATATAGTGAGCTGTTAAACGATGTGCCTGTAACTGTTGAAATCATATTTGTTTCTGGCACACTTATGAACAATAAATACAATCACAGTCCCTATCTTGTAAAACCCTGAGGGATAAGAATAAGATTTTTAGTGTTATAAAAAATAACAGACTTAGCATAACGTCTTATGACAAGTAACAATCCCTGGATTAGAATAAGATTTTAGTGTTATAAAAAAATAACAGACTTAGCATAACGTCTTATGA